TCAGAGCAATTCTTAATGGAAAAAGTGCAACAAAAATGTCACAAATTCTTTCAATCTGACGGGATGAACTCAGAACTAATACCTACAGCTCTATTAGAGTTTCATAAATTGTTGCTGTTATGCAATTCAGAAACCATTAACATGCTGTCCACTATACCAGATATACACGCAGCCAACCTGTCCTTTCTCAGCGTCGGCCCGTAGCATCCCACTGGACACACGCTGGCTCCTCGGCCGCCACGGTCCACGTACCCGGTGCTCTCACACGCAGCCTCCCTGTCCTTACTCAGCGCCACTCCAGACCGCTCGTTGGCTCCACTCACTTGACTCACGTTGCATATCGCTTGCAAATCACTTCTCCTACATCCGACTCACAACTCAGCTCTTGTCAGACTCTGGCCCGAAAGCCGATTGCCAACGGCAGTAAACAAACACAACAATGACAATGGTCTCGAAAGCCGATTGTTGACGGCAGTAATGAAACACAACAATGCCCGTAGGAGTTCGTATAACATCTACAGATGCAGAACAGGCAGCCTGGAGGTCAAGCGGCCCCTGCCCTAAAGCGCGAGTCCGCTGCACTCACGGCGACACGTCACAATATCAAACCTGTTATTCACTTTATCCACCTTCGAGTTGAAATGCATCTCTACAAAGTTAGATGACGAGAACATCGTGCTTCTTAGCTTGGACGACAAAATATTGACGTCTGTTTTGTCCTGGCCCGGGATATCTCGAATGAAAAATGTGACAGTGGAACCACGGTTCCGGAGAATTTGACGTAAATACGTCTATACGGAAAGGAAGTTTATATATTGGCTTTATTCTAAATATTTCCTTTATATCCGCTTTACGATTGATTAAAGTTTGAGTAAGACATTGCTTATTTAACTTGAATTAGTTATGCTTAAGATGGGTCTGTGGTAGGTGAAATATGTTATAAAATTTGTACATTTTAGAGTATCAAACACCATATCTATACAAGATTTTGATCTAGTAGTACTACATTGAGGATCTGACATCAACATTAAGCCGAACCTTTTCCTCCATAAATGTGAGAAAGCTTTGATTTTCCTCCTTCTTTAAAACAATGTTAAAATCTCCTGTCAATATTATCGGCATTGTATTAGGATCTTCTGTGGCCATAACTGAAAACATCTTTGTATAATTTCTCAAATGACTCAAAATAAATCTCTTACAATCATCAATAGGTGTGTGGTTACAATTGAAACTTTTTCACCATTTATCATACACTCTGGAGTGTTGAATGTACGAGGCAATACAGAAATCGTAAGAAGCAAATATTATTAAATAATGAATCTAAAGTTTCCTAATAGTTATAATAAAGCCAAAGTATAAAATTCCTTACCGTATAGACGTATTTACGGCAAATTCTCCGGAACCGTGGTTCTACTAACGCACTTTCCACTTTTTCACGTTTTCTGTACTGTCTCATATTTACAAAAATGGGACAAAGGTCCTATATCAGCAATGATATTTACACTTCTATTTCCACACTAACTGACATAAACTCTAAATTTAGAAGTATATAAATACACATTATTTTCCTTAAAATGGAATAGTCCAGTTTGTCAGAACATAACCTCACTTGAAACTTTTATCATTTACAGACCCCACACCATCTAGTAATAATCGCACACAAAAGATGAGCTGCCAACACACTGTACAAGGGTGCACAAAATTTGTTCAAAATTGGAATGTGCAGTTCAAATTTATACCACCATGCACACACATGATAGCAGCACTGTGGCATTTCCTCGTGGATTCCAATGAATTCTGTGGGCCAGACGCTGGTAAGACTGTGAAAGACTTCAGAAACGTCTGATACAAAGGCTCATAAATATATCAGAAATCAAACAGAGCTCACAAAATGCATTTGATAAAACTACCTACAAATCTGTGCACTATAACTGTCACAGAAGTGACTTGTTAGGTTGATCTAAGTCCTATGCTTCTTGGTTCGTATTTAGTATTTATTGGGTGTGTGATTTATCAAGTCTTTCACAGCCTTACAAGTGCCTTTTGACTTGAACAACTGGACCATTTCCTTGTACGACATTTAGAAGCACAAGCAACTTGCTTTGGTCTCTGGAGTATCAGCGTGCATATTCTATACCTAAATATCGTTTCAAAATTAAACTTCCTAATTCTAGGCAAAACTGCACTGATTATACGGTCAAAAGAATCTGGGAGTCTAAAATGTCAAATTTCGGAAATTGGGAGTAAAGTAGATCATAATGCTAATTTACTTTATTGATAGAGGTACACTGAAGATGTGCTGCCTGTGAGTAAAAAACAGTTCGAAGTGTCTGTAAACAATCATCTGCAGAAACATTTTCTCGAACTGGGCCTACACCAGCAACCTTCGTCACCCCCTGGTTCATGTGGTGTATTGTATTTGGACAACGATAAGAAGAAGAATTCCGTCAAATGGATCGGGTGACAGTGATAGATGCGAGGACTCAGAAGACAGTGAATAACTACAGCACGTCCACAAAAGTGGTGGCAGCGTCGATTTTGAAATTGCGCTAAACTAGACAACAATTCGGGGTTACAGGTCGGTCTCTTTTTTTAAACCAGGCCACGTTTCTTCACGTTTTGCATTCACTACCAAGACTCCTCAAGAATGCAACTAAAACTTGTACGGAAGAATCTACCAAATGACAGAATTGTTTATATACTGACACAGGCTTACATAAACATCACAAAGTTTCCTGATTTTAAATTATAAAACTTGTCTTAAATTTATTAATTATAACAACTACATTCTGCTATCAGTAAAAACATGTTGATGTAAAATTATCACTCTTTATCTGACTCTAAAGCCAAAAGAATATTAATAAATTTGAGTAGATTGTCAAAAAGTATTAGCATAAAAGAAATAGCCTCAACTTAGATTTAAGGTTCTCCCAGTGGTGAGTTCAATGATGGCTGTCTTCTGGGTTTCAGCACCGTGAAGTCTGGTAGACGTTTTCTAATGTTTCAGAGGTTCTTACTGCCTCCATCACCACGGCGACGAGTTACATGTTGCTAAACTCAGAAGACAGCCATCTTATAACTTCAAATTACCCCACGTTTTCCCAGCCCTTGGTAACAGGCCATAGTGCAGTCAAAAAGGGCTTCAACTGTAACTATCTTTTCAGAATGCCTGTACCTGAATCTGTTGCAAGAATAGTCTGTACTCTCGAGACACTTCCTCAGCAACTCTTTGCAAGACTCTGAGAAGACAAGCGAGTGTCTAGAAGATACACAAAAATAACTCACATTGACAGATGTGGTCGAACCAGCTTTTGCCTCTGACTTGGGCTACATAAAATGATACAGTAGCGACTTTGTGCGCCATACAGGATTTGTATTGTCCGTAAATGTTATCAGCGGCCTTAAGTCTTAAAAAAGTATACATTTAGGAGTATTAGAAACTATTCATAGACAAAAACGATATCTTATACTTTATAAATGCGAACAAAAGCCACAATTTTCATTGCGAAATGCTAAACTTCGACTACTTACATGGATCAGTTCCCTTAACCTTTTCAGTTAATGGCCACTTCTCTAAAATTAACATTGTGAAAAAAATTACACTCAATCAACGAGCTAACCAACTACACAACTAATTATATAAATGATATATTAACATTATGGTAACGGAACTCTAAGGTTCAATGCCGATAACAACCAAAATCCGGCAATGGACACGGACCTCAGCCAGCTCAATCCATGCACATGCCTTACTTCCCTGAGATTCATGTTCATGCTATCCTCCCATCTCCTTCTAGCTCTTCAAACATATTCTATTTGAATGGCTACTTGGAATACTGCAAAACACCAAAGAAGTACACGTGGTAACATTCTCTTACCACTTACAAGTTTAAAATTTCCTGGATTATGATTTTGAAAGTATCGGTAAAATTTTAAGCAGGGTTATTTTAAGAACTATTACATAGCGTGTTTATTGTCGGTATTTAGTACCAAAACAAGAAAAACATTTGAGTTCAATGAAAACTATAAAAAGATGCCAGTATAATTAAAAGCCAATCATCTGAAAGAGGGAGTAGGACCATCTCACTCATTATACCTCGTACAATGGCCAATATCCAACATAAATTTCAGTGTCAAATCCTGAAGAATGAAAAATGGAATAAAAATTAAGTCACGTGCGAAAATAGAAGCAAATCGATCAGAGTCATCAATCATCGGGGAAAAAGAACTTTCAAATGTCCTGTCTTCACAGCCATAGTCCGAGGACAAGGTAAGATTCTGCATAATACGAACTGCTCCGGAGACCAGACATCATCATTTATATTCAACGTATCATTTCCTAATTTAATATTCTAGATAATTTAACATTTTAACGCAGTCTGTAACTTATAGAACGTTCCATGAATAACTGAAACTCCCGCTACCTTCTCGATCCACCTGGTCCCTCTGCATCGCTGACACGGACAAGATATTCAGAGGTTCTCTAAATATTTGTCATATTCTTACCACGCATCGCTCAATAACTTCTTACTGCAAGAGTGGTATATGCGCTGGTTCGATGGATTTTAGGATTCTGAAGTATAAACCACGAGGTTTCAAGTAAAGGTGGGTCAGACTGGTCGGCACATAGGAAAAATGGGAAATATGTAGATGGATTCGATGATGAAGTCATCAAAACGTTACTTCATCATTTCTGCTCCAAATTCCGCGACTTCGTTCGCAGGAAACATTAATCACCTTCTGCGTATTTGCGTTTTGAAGTGGGTGCTGACTCACAAACCGATAGATTTCAAATGCGGTAATGTTTCTGGTCGTGGCCGATTCGAACCTCTCGCCTACTCTACCTGGTGAGTTTCATAGTGGCTCTACCTCGCAGTTCGTAGCCCGCCTTGAATCAGTCGACGAACGAAGCCTTTCAATTTTACCGAACGCGATAATATTCTCTTATTATACGATGTAAAATAACACATGCAGTTGGTGCAGGATCGTTATACCCCTACGATAATACATAACTTGGTGAGCAAACTGATTGTTGGAAGTGTAAACTGCGAGACATGACGTCAGTGCATTGTTGTACTACGCTGACTGCATACGGAATTTTGGCAGGGAATCCTTCTGGAAAAAGACCACTGGGTAGACCAGGAAGCAGATGGGAGGATAATATCAAGATGGATCGAAGAGAGGTGGGATGTGAGGATGGCAAATGGACGAAGTTGGCGCACGATCGTGGCCGGTGGCGGTCTCTGTTGTTGGCGTTGGACATGCGAGTTCTCCTACTAGGGAGTTAGTTATTCTGTCCGTCTCCAGAGAGCGCAGCGGTGGTGTGGCTGACCTGACAGCGCTCGCAAAATACGTCCAACGCACTGTGGCTGTGAGATTGTATTCATATACTTTATATTTTGTTATTATTTTGCAGAACATTTTTGAGAAGGCCGATTTTCAGTGCTAGGTCCAATGGCGAAGTCAGAATACTGAACCCACTCACTCGGAGTCGCTTGTAAAATGCTCCGCTACAAAACTTGAGCCCCTAAACAGGTCTGAATTATACTTACGATATTGATATCATCTTCCGTGTTCAAAGCGGAAGGAAAGCACAAACAGGAAGTCTTGAGTGCTTTACAGTAAAAATGCGTCTTTCTAGCCGTGCTATAAATTATTTTTCAACTTGAAACTGATGCCGTCAGTCACAGCGACTTGTTTAGTCAGAAGTAATCCGGAAACTTAGCAAGGAGACTTGATCACAAATTACGTAAACGCACGTTACTAAAACCTACGTTTATCCCAGCCGCACGCCATCGTCTGTTCACTTCTCTGGATCGAGCAATTCTTGCTCTTTCTTCTGAAACCCCTTGCTCGATGCCGAGCGTGAATTTGCGTAAGCAAGAATAAATATCAAATCTCAACGCGAAGACGAGATTTTCCTCGCTGTCACGTGAGTGTCGGTAAAAGCGCCACCTCCATGAACGACTGTCCACTGTTGTGGGACTTTTGTTTCTTTGTTCGAAGAATCCCAGTCGATTGCTGACAGGCACAAAGCATAGCGCTTCAACGTGAAAAAAGGATGAGTTATTGGCAGCGGGATCTTTTATGTCTGTCTGTCTGTCGTACGTGATGTTCCGAAAAAAAGAAAAGCGATGTTTGTGTCCCTGGCGAAAACCGTTTGAGGTAACCCTTGGGTAAGATGGGCCTCCGCTTCTCTGAAAGGACTTTGTTGCATTTGGCATATTAAGAATCTGTCGGAGTGAAAATCGTTCTTCATGCACTTTTATGTGGGACGTTCTTCGGGTATTTTGCAATGCTTCATCAGGTTATGAGGTTCTGCAATCTTGAATAGGGTACGGTGATTGTTACACGATAACCCACTGGCCTCAGGGGTGCAGATTCCGATGTCAGAGAGAAGTTACATACAATCATAACATTTGTCATTTGAAAATTCTTTGAGCGCAAGTTGGACCACGGACCTGACTCACGCATGGCCTGAGCCTGATTGTCGCAAAATATTTCCGAGCTCTGTTGCAGTTACAGACAAAGAAATCTCGTTGGAATCCAGAAATCTGAGTTGGGGTGTCGGAGGCGAAGATAACAGAGCACATGGCGCCTTCGTCCCCCTTGACCCCTTCGTGTGACGTAGCCCAAGGTCGCTTTAAACTTGCACCCAGTTCAATTCCCTGCACTATGGTTTTTACAGGACGCCTTACACGTGGTTCAACTGCCTGCCTTCGTCTCATGCTCAACCTAATCAGCGGAGCGAAGAGCCGAGATCGATATATCTGCGCATGCGCCAACTAATCGATGGCAGGAACCATTTCTTCCTGGAGAAGATTCACCACGAAAAAAAACTGCTAATTCGAAAAGGACATGATTTGTTAACACCAAAATACCTTGTTCCTTCCCTTTACAACCCGTTTCACCAGAATTATGGCTATTTTTTTTATGGAAGCATGAGACGGTTTAAAGGCGACTTCAATTTCGACAAGGAAAGATCTCCAACCGTTCAGCTTTTCAATTTTTTTAATCTGGATTTCTTTACTTCACGTAACGAAATTCATACGCCTGACGGCGTAGTTAATGTTCCAGAATCCTCTAACATGGACTTGAATATTGACATAGAACTCCACTCACCGTTAAGACTCACACCAATAAGATTTTATGATAACTGTCTAGCATACCTTTGGACATCCGCTGTAGGCGTGGACGGTTATCGCCAGATCCGCTTCAGGTGAATCATGGAACTAAATTCCTTTTGAAAATTTCTATAAATTGCTCTGC